TTTTTATGCTTTGATTAATTCCTTAATGAGTAAAATTAAACAAAGGAAAAAAAGCATGCTACAGCTACCTGTATGGAAAGGTTCAGTTCCCTGTTTGGAAGGCTTTTGCTTGGCTTGCAAATAAAAGGCGGAGAAGAGTTACAACAAAAATAGATTGCATGACACTTGCTCTTCCTCTCTTCTTCATGTATTTGGCTTACGGTAGTAAGAGGAGAATCAAAAAGGTGTTGTTCCCGATTGTCTTTTCTTCGGTGTGAATCTCGGAGAGGGAGAGAGAGAATGTTTTTCTTGTAATAGTCGATATGATCGACGGTGTGTAATCCTCAAATTAATAAAAATCCTCTGCAGCTCCGTGGACGTAGGCAATTTGCCGAACCACGTAAATCTTGTGTCGCCCTTTTTCTGGTAATTTTTCTCGATCTATTTTTCGCTTTATTACCGTCGTTTTTCATAACAATCAGGAAGGAAGAGTATCCGTGGATGACGACTTAACACTTGACATATATGCTATGTATTTTTAAAACAATATTATCATATTATTAATTATTATTTTAATAGCTATTTTTTAAATTTTGATATTTATGTTACTCACTGTTTAGTAAATTATCTATCTTTATTTTATAATATTATGAATTGAATATTTAATTTTAAAATATAGAATGCATTGATATGAATAGTTATGTTACAATCAACATTATAAAAAGATGCAGAATGATCATTTATCTATAAACAATTACAATAAAATTATTTTCAAAGTGCCCCAAACAAACACTAATGCAGCATAAAAAAAAAAAAAAAAAAAAAAAAAAGTTAGGGTTAGGTTCGTCGTAATTTGTCAAATCCCCAACAATCAAAGTGAGTTTCCGCCAACTGTGACGCTGCTGGGCAACCGTTGCGCTATTGAGATGACTGTCACCGGTGAAGTTTCTATTCGAGAAGCCCCAGAAGAGTCTGAGGGCAAAAGGCGGGAAGAAGTTGGTGCGGAAGTATGGGTTGAAGATGCCGAGGGAGAGGAAAATGGAGAATCTCCTTCGCATCTCCCTTTCGCCCCTTCATCAGAGGTAAGATCTCCAAAATTCCAGCAGCCTCTTGTATTTTAGTTCATCGTTTTTCATGAAAGCATCCGTGCAGCTTTCCATACCGCAGTATTGTTTCCATTTGATAGCAAAAGCAGAAGTTTCGACACAATCAGTAACTGATTTCTTATCGACCAACTCTATCCCTCGGTCTATGGCTGTACTTAGCTCCCGCCACCGTCGTTCATTCCCGTTTCACACTTCAACTTTGTTATATAGTGCATGATCCTCATTCTGATGTTGGCATAAACTTATAAGATGCGTATTCAGGAAAGCTAATCGTAAACGTGAGATTGAACCAAAACCTGTTGCATAATCTGAAATTTGGACCAGACCTGAATTGAAACGGACGTTGGGTCTGCGCATGAGCTCCAATTCATACTTGAATAAGTTCTAAAATTTGGACTTGTAAATCTAATTTTGAAGGTAAATGTGTATCAGACATTGAATTGATTCATTAATCAGAAACTAAGTGTGATCTGAAATACGAGTAAATCATAACTCTTGAAGCTATTAATTCACTTGAAGATCTTACTAAACTTATTTCCGACTTCTGTGCATGGAATTCAGCATGTTGCTGACTTTGTTTTTGGTTTTTGATTTCTGAATTTACTAACTTTTTTGAAAGCATAAGCTGAGTTGCTTAACTATTGCCGGATTTTCCTAGTGATTTTTTATATATTTTTTTTATTATTATTATTTTTTTTTGTGGAAGTTTGAATTCTAGACTCGTTGTGCAATCTTAATAAATGTTATTTTTCCACTTAATTGTACTGATTTTCTTGCAGCTATTATACTGCAGTTACCTGACACAACAACGGTGGATCCCAGCTATATTATTTCTCTGATAAGGAAACTTTTACCAAATAATATAAACAAACAAAGTCTAAATCTTTCTGAAACATCAAAAGTGTGTCCTTTGGAAGAGAACAAGGAGGCAGAATCTATCTCCTCGAAGAAACTATTGGACACGGAAGCCAGATGTGAGGGTTCCATTAATGATCATTTTGGTGGTCAGTCATATTCCTCTGCTCCCATATATAATGGAATAGGAGCAGATTCTATAAAAGAGGACACTGGTTCTGATGATCAAGAAACTGGATTTATTGATGAGGTAAATACGTGGGAAGACTCTGGCTGCATACTCTGGGATCTTTCGACGAGTAGAACTCATGCAGAATTCATGGTATTTGATTTCATTTTTCTTAATTTATTGCCGTATGCCAGTTTACTTTTTTTTGTGATAATTTAAAGCATTTTGTGGCTAACAGTTTTGATGAGTAAACTTAGTATTCTCTTGAAAAATATCATTTGGAATCATACATAAGTTGTTCTCTTATTTCCATACTCAGAAAGGTCTTTAGATTTTGCTTGTTTATTTTTATTATGACTTTCAATTAGTTATTAAACTTGGACAATCATTGATTTTATTAAAATATCATGCCATCGACTCAATCATTGAGTCTTTCATTCATAACTAATTATATTTTATGCCATTGATTGTGTAAATGCAAACGAAGCTTTCTTTGTCTTAATTATTTTAATGAAAAAATTTCTATGCCCCCATATATTAACAGTTGTTTTCCTTATGTGCAAACTGAATAATCTATTGCGGATCAGAACACATTGCATCACAAATTAGTAGGTCGATTAGCTGTTTACTACGTATATAGAAGCGGCCAAGATTGAGGATAGAGGAGAGGGAGGAGAGAGAGTCCCAAGAGGAAAAGGGAATTAAGCTCTAATTGAAGTCATAATTAGTTCATGTAACAGCACTTAAACCCCTTTCATAAGAATATTTTATTAACAATTTAAAATTCTAACTATATTGATTCACATTTAGACAACACCGAAAAATCCTATTATCTATGTTAAAATCAAGATAGCACTAAAAATCAGATCCTTTAATAGCGAATATAAAATTTTAAAAAGCTGAAATAATCTGACAGTTTTCTAGAATAACCTTGATGTAGGTTTTGCAACCTCATCATCTGGTGGTAAAAGATTAAATTAGTTCATTCCATTATTGATCATTATCACATAAAACCCACCTTATTTAATATACTCCGTACATCATTTCACCATATGTTAGATGGATAAAAGAATTCTCAATATATAAATTGAGATTTATGATTTTGATGATATAGAAGTTTCAGATGATCTGAAATTTTGCTCAGTAGTTCCTCATATTATTTAGTTCGCATTCTACCTTATTGATTGATGTAATACTTGGAAAGAAATGCAACTTCATTAAGTGAGTTTTTTATGCAATCCAATGGTCTCTATGTCAAATATAATCATGCAATCATCTAGGTAGTGGTTAATGGAAATGTTTTGACACACAATAATGGCTATTATTGTTTGCAAGTTTTTTGTTGAAAATTGAATGGACATAAGTGTGTACTTGAACAACTTGATAATTACTGTGATATAATTCTTGTTATTATTATAAAGACAGAAGTTTGAATCTGCATGTTGGAGAAAGGGTTATATTTTATCAAAGCTAGACCTAGGAAAGCTGCTATGTGTAACTGTAAACAATGAACTCTTCAAAGAATAAATGAACGACTTGCATTGTTTTGAAATTTGCAGTTTTTCACATTGACATTTGATTTTGTCATTTATTTTCAGCTTAATATCCAGATTGTGTATTACAGGTTGAGTTATTCATTTTTTTAAGTTATTTATATGTAACATGCAAATTATATTGTCTATTAAATGCCTTGGCAATTATTGGAGTAATTATATGGTTCAATTTTAATACTTTCTTATGACTATCCGACAATGGATGGTTTTATAATGATGAGTTTATTTTATTATCTGTACAGGTTAACAATTTCATGCTTGAAGTACTTCTAGCAAGTCTCCATGCCTCAATATCTCCTCGAATCACGGTCAGTTGTTGAAGCTGCTGTGTTGATTAAAGATAATAAATGATCAAATCCACATGCTTTTGTATTTTGAAAATTTCTAACTCGGTCTCATCTTTATTTTCTAATAAAAGTAATGATTACAATTGATACACTATTTTTATGAGAATAAATATTTTTTAAGTATAGAGTTAGTAGTTTTATGGTGCAAAATTTTTAAAATCTACTAAATTCAAATACTTATTTTTTTCTTTTTCTTTTACCATAATGAATCGTTGGTATAGAATCATATGACCATTTCTCTCCGAGCCGTAAACAAATCTTTAATTAGATATTTAAATTGAGTGATATGATTGATCAAGTCAGGCTAAGTGCTAATAATTTTCTTGAAAATAGATTTCTCGGTTTGATGCTCCCGTGACATAGCTGTTAATGTTCCTTCAAGGTCCACCTTAGTTCAAAGTTTTGTTTTCAGAGATTCATACAGTGACTAAAATAGTTTCTTATATTGTTATGCCCAAACTTTCATGCTATATTGAAATTTCAGCAATTTCAAGATTTCGAGTATCTTTTATGTTTGATTTGTTTGAAGACGAGCAATACTTTAGGATAAATATTCGAGGTGCTCGTTATAGGCTTTTTATTTTAATTATGTTTCTCTAGACACCGCTTATTCAAGGAAGCTTTCGGAAGTACTGGTCAAGGCATGGTGTGGTTTTAAATGCTCACTTCCTTCTACAAAATTGTTTTTTAGCATTTTTCATCGTCATTATAAAACTTGTCACGGAACTATTCAAGCCTACTAAATTGGAATAATAAAATTTACCCAAGAAAATTAAACATTTTTACGTAGTGATGGAGATCTTCATGTTTATATTTGTTTAAAAACAATGAGTAAATATATGATCAATTCAAGTTAAATCTGGGCTATGGAATTAAATATAAGCCTTATCATGTGTGATAGCCTCCTCTATGCATGGGTTTTAGCTTTGCATTTGCCTTGATTTGATTTCCTTGGATTTTAACCTAATGTGGTGAGTTTATTGCTATTTCAAAATTTTCAATATACCTCAGCACAACTTTATGACCTTGTTGATTTCTTAGATTTGTTCCACTTATTTTTTTGTTTTCAAAATTTAGGATAACATGACCGACGAGTGTATGAAATAGAGTTGAATTTTAGAATTATTGAAATTGATTTGGGCTAATTTTGTGTCAATTATTTACTTAGGAATGAGAGATTCATGAATAGATACTTGAGTCATGTTTCATATTGTTGTTTTCAATTTCGTAAAATTTTTTTGACATGGGATTTCCTTGATTGTGGTATAAATGCAGTAGATAACTTCGGGGTAAATATATCTATTTGTACTTGGGCATGGCTTGAATTTTCTCCACCTTGGCAATCTCTTTCATTAATGTTTTTGTTCTTAATCTTTTCATTTGTGTTGTTGTAAGGGTATTGATTTTGGCCAGGGACATATTTACTATAATTGAAATTTCATTATGATTAGTAGACTAGTATACTAGCAAAATGAGAACAAGCTTAGAATAGGAAGTTGAGGAGGCTCTCAAGAAGGTCAGAGTTACATCAAGAAGAACCCCAGCTAAGATGTCATTTTTAAGGGATGTCAAGGCCAAGAAGAAACTCATAAAAGGTTTTGGGAAGAAGCACACATGAGTTTAATGACTCTGTGATCATGTGCCGTTTATCAAGTCGCGATGACGACAATCTATTGTTAGCATTCCATGATTTAATTGTCGAAATTAGCATCGCTTTCTCTTTGCTCCTTCAATTGGAGTCATGATTTCTTATATTAGCTGCTTTCCTTTTTTAATTGATGTTACCTGTTTATATAAATGGATGCTAAAGGAGGAATATGGGTTAGCCTCTTTCATGTGAGCCCTATGAGTTAAAATCTTAGAGAGATTGTTCTTAGCCTCTCGAAAGATTGGGTATTTAGAGAGTAGGGAGAGCAAGAGACTCCGTGGAGTTTGAGAAATAGACAACTAGACAGGAGGGGGTTCAAGAGACCACTATATTCCTCATATTATTTTGCCTTCTTCTTACATGTGTTTTTCTTTTTTTAGAATTAATAATCTTTTGACGCCTATTCAATGTGTTAGATATCATTGATGTGTTGGTGCTAACAGATCATATTCTTGGTATATGAGCTCTTGGTTTGGAGAGAACTCTGGGGTATGGTGTTGATAAAAAGTAGATTTAAGAAGATAGAGGAACTATTCATGATTCTGAATGCTTTAAGAACATAATAGAAGGTCAATATGTTGAAATTGGAAGGAAAACCCTCCAACTACTTTGCTAACCAAGTTTCTCTCCTTCAACAATAAATGATTGTGATGTTGTAGATGTTGTGCAAACAAATTTTGGTAGTAGCTCAAACGTATTCTCAAATTGCACTTTGAAGCAAAAATAAAGCTTTACACATCACTTTGTGCTTTGCGCTTTGATGCCACTGCTTAAAAACTTTAAATTTGAAGCATGGACTATATACTACAGTGTTTATATGTTGAATTGACCATGAAAGGGTATCTCCAAGGACGTCCTGAGGACGTAACTGTGCCTTTTGTTCTATGTCTTAATTTTTTTATGATTTAATTTTGAACCTTGATTCCAAATCATAAGTAGGACTTCTTAGAGTCTAGAAAATTTAATGCAGTTTTAAATAGCAATGTGGAAAATCCTGCAACATGCACATAAAATTTGTAGGATGCATTATTGAATTACTTCGATGAAAATCAAAATAAAATAGAAATCAATTCCCATGAAAATTATGACATGTTGCAGAAGCTGAAAGATTAGATCTATGTTAAAATAACTATTGAAACTTCGGATACTATGATTGTTTTTGATAGTGATATTGTCGTGTGTAGGATTTGGTTTTCTTTTTCAAAACCTTATATTGCTCACAATTCATGCCTTGCATTATAGACCTACAAAAAATTATTATTAATAATTTGAAAAAAAAGAAAATTATATATATATATATATATATATATATATATACTTATAGGTTCGCTCCTCTTCGAATTCGGCTGCTTGTTGAAGGATGTTTTCCTGCGTCTTTACCTTTCGTCCTCTGCTCAAAGTAGAAGGGGATTTCACCTTTCCTTGCTGCCTTACTTGTGATGGCTTCAGATAGAATGTATGTTGTTGCTCTTGCGTGTGTTCACACCTCATGTACTCCTAAATTGTGTTTCTTCCCACTTTCCTTTGCACTGACAGAGGGTGGCTAGTTCTATTACATCAAGAAACCTGGTAGGAAGAATGTGAAGTCAACCATCCTTTTTTACTAAAGCCGAATGTATTCAGCTTGCTTCCTTCTGTAGTCTGAATTTGGTCGGGAAATTCTTTTATGACCATCCCAAAATGGAGTTTATTCGTAAGGAATTTGAGCTTATGCATCTTGTTGGGGAGTGAAAAATTGGACTCTTAGATGATTGACACATCCTTATTCAACTTAATAATGAAGAGGAATACACATGTTTATTTGCTAGAAGATTAATCTGGATTGATAACAAAATAATGAAAATTTTGAAATGGTCAGTGGATTTTGACCCACAGACGGAACCACCAACTATTTCGGTCTGGATTCACCTCCCCAACCTAAAATTTCATTATTTTACTCAAGAAGTGTTGTACTCTATTACCTTAGCATATCATAAGTCACTCAAAACGGACATTCCTACTTTTAATTTTTCTCGTCCCGTTGAAACTAGGGTACTTGTTGAAAGGGACATCACTTCAATCGCTCATGAAAAAATTTGGTTAGGCTCACAACACCAACGATATTGGAAAAATGTTGTTATTGAGTATTTCCATTCATATTGCTCGAATTGTCGTATGTTCGACCACTTCAATTCTCAATGTCACCATCTACACCCCCATATAAGACCAAAGAAACTAAGTGCTCAGCCAGAGGCAGAGATTCCCCCTCTTGATCTACTCCAAGTTATTGACACTATTGATTATCCGAAAGATACTCTTGAAGGTGTCACTTTTCCCGCGGGCAATCTGTCAATCACTCAGCCTCCACACAATCCTCCTAAGAAACCTCTGTTTGAGGGGGTAGAGTAGACATTTCATACTTCATCTACCCTGGAACCTATCATTGATGTAACAGATGATAGTATTTCTACTGTGGTTCTACCGCCTCATCAGATCGAGCAAGTTGTTACCATTAGTCAGACACTTGGGGCTCATGATGTGCAATAGTCTAGACATGTCCGACAATCTTTGGACCATTCTACTGATTTGATGAGCCAGGCTTCGAATGAGGAATGACGGGTTTACACATCCAGGAAGAAGAAGAAGAATGGAGGCCTATTACCAAACTTAATGGATGATACATTGGTTGTTTCGGGTAATGGCAGTAAACTTAACAGTTTGTTAGCTGTCTCCTGTCCTATAACCAGAGGCAGAGGCAGGGCTAAATTGGATCATTCTCAAGCTTCTTAAGTATGCGAGTGTTGGTAGAATTTTGGCGTAGAGTTTATATGTTTACGTTTTAATCTTGATTTTCTTTTTTGGGTATACATATATCTTTTTGGGACCTACGTGTGTGTTGTATGTCAGATGGTTAGGGTGCCAATTTGGGCCCTTTCATCCAAACTATCTATATCGCTCGAAGCTTCTGCTCCTTTTTGCTTCGTCGGCTCACGCCCGCCTTCGTCGGCGTGTCTGCGTCTCGACGAGTCTACTCGGCGTTCGTCTGCGTCTGCTCTGCGTCGCTCGGTATTGTGTGCTCGGTGTTTCGTCTGCTCGAAGAGTTTGCTTCGCGTTCGCTTCTGCTCGTGAAGCTTCTCACTGTTCCTGCCGCAGCAACTTCGTTGTAGCTTAACTTCGACAGCTCTCCTTGCTCTTATGGCGTCTCCTTGTTTGGTTGAGCCGGACAAAGTCTTCTTTGCTCACGTGGTGGGTAACCCTTAGGTGGAGTCCGCAATGGGATTCCCCTCAAGTTATAAGGAATCTCGTGAGGGTACAGATGATTGTCCTTTTATTAAAAATGGAAGCAGGAAAGGTAGAAAAGAAGCAATCTTTTTCTCTGAATCAGAAATTTCTACCATGACGGAAAAATTTAAGTTTGCTCTTATTGAAAAATTTCAATGGGAACACCCTCCTATGGAGGTTATCATAAAGAGTGTTGATGATTTTAAGCTAGTAGGCAAGTAGAAAGTAGGACTCATGGATTAGAGACATGTGTTGATCCAACTAACAGTTGCTGAAGACTACACCAGAATGTTCTCCAAGAAATATATTAATATCGAAGACAAATCAATGAAGTTACTCAAGTGGTCTTCTAATTTCGACCCAAATCATGAAACTCCCACTGTACCGGTATGATTTAGTTTACCTGGTCTCAAGCTGCATTTTTTTCACCATCAGGTTCTCTACTGTATTGGGGTCATCCTTGGGGATCATTTGAAACTAGATCTGCCCACTTTCAACCTAACTAGACCCTGGTGGCCAGAATACTTGTGGAAATGGATATTACTTTACGTGATGTTACTGAAATCTGGTTGGGCACAACCCATATTGGTTATTGGCAACAAATTATCATGGAACACAAACCCTCATATTGTACCCACTGTAAAATGACACTGTTGTTACTGTTACTGCGAGTGATGCGATGCTGACACCTACAAACTCCATACAAAATAATTCTGATAGACTATTACTTACAAATGATAGTGTTCAGACTGATAATCAGGAGAGCCTCGCAGCTCCACTTCTTCAAGAAGTAACCTGTGTAGCGGCAACTCATACTTCACATATTGTAGAACCTATTGTGGGTACTACTGTTAGTAATCCTTCTGCTTCAGCTGTACCCCATCAGGCGGATTCTTCGAAGAAGGAATGACAAGTTTACACTTTCAGGAGGAAGAAGAAGAATGGAGATCTACTAGAGCTGAATGGAGATACTAGAGCTCAGGAGTCTTATGGATGATATTTTGGTTACTACGGGTAATGGTCAACACCTTACCAATCTGCTAGCTAGATTCCTACCGAGAACTAGAGTTAGAGGCAAGACTATATTAGGATGACCCACACTTTTTCAGCGCCCGGGTGGTTTTTGGGTTTTTTTTATTTCTATATGTACCCATCTTTTACATTTTTTGGTGTGTGTTGTATCGTGTGGGTTAGGTGTTTAAGCCCACTCATACAAACCTATCTGTATCTTTAACTTTAATATATCAGCCCTGGGGCTTTTTCAAAAAAAAAATAAATATAAAATATATATATATATATATATATGTTATTATTATTATTATTTTAGCTTAAGCATGATGTTTAAAAATCCAGGAGTAAGCCTTTAGCTCCATATGGACGGTATAGGTTGCTAACTATGATAGAAGACAATGTTTATATCTTACTATGTTGTACAATTATCCAAAATTTCTAGCGATGATGGTAGTTTATGGTAAAACTAGTCATATTACTAGGACAATTTTGGAGGACTATTTAATACTTACCTAACTTTTTTATTCTCTGAACTTATGTTAATTTGAAAGATGGAAATAGCATACTTTCATTCGCTCGGTTAAAATAAAATTTATGAGTACTTTTTTTAATTGGCTCCTTGGCAGAATATAGATTTTGTAGAGATGCAATGTAGAAATCTATTAGTTTGACCTTCTGCTCATTTTTGGAAGGTTCTGTTGCTTGTTTGCCTCTCTTTAAATTTAGAGAATTGGCTGCATCCCTCCTTTTTCAGCAGTGCACAAAATTGTTTCTGGTTGGGTTTTAGTTGATTAGTTGGATTTCGTAGGGTAGACCCTTTAGATGGCGCTTTAATCTTTTGTCTATGTTTAAATAGTTGCTCCTAAGAGCAAAGTATCACGTGTGTGTGCATCTTTCTCTCTCTCTCTCTCTCCACACACACACACACACACACACACACACACACACACACACACACACACACACACACACACACACACACACACACACACACACACACACACTGTGTGTGTGTGTTTCACCAGCGTCGTATTTGTTTATATATTTAGGTAAAACATGTTCTAAAGATCCTGTCAATTAATATGGAGCATTGTTGTTTAAATATGATAGTTGTTTGCTTTTTACAGGAGATTTGTCTAGGGATTTTGGGAAATCTGACTTGCCATGATGTTTCTAGCAATGCCATGACATCTATAGATGGTTTGATTGAAGCAGTTGTTAATCAACTATACCTAGACGACTCTCCGTGCCTCTCTGAAACATTCAGGTATGCAAATTGATAAATCTATCAAGCTTGTTTAGATATAATGAACTTATGAAATCCATTGTATGCCAAAGTTTATCTATGCAAGCTCTAAACGTCATGCGTTAGTGGATTTTGCATTGATTTTGCCATCAATAGAAATCGACCACAAGCTTAAAAACAGCAAATAGTTGAAATATAATAATTAAAGTGTAAGCTGATATAGTAAATAGAATTCTAGGATGTACCAAATTATTAAATCCAAATTTAAACTTAAAGAGAAAAGAGAACCTACAAAGAAAAGCTCTAGCATTTCACTAGATTTTCAACAATTACAAGATTGTGTAAAATGATTGGATGTGCTAGGCTGATCCTTTGACCTTTTATGCACAATGCTGCATGAAAGACTACATTTGTGCACTGTAAATAAGACTAAATAGCTAGGCTAATAGGTGCTTGCTATAAAATAAACAAATTTAGAAGATGTTGCTGATTTCACTTGGAAATAATGATTTATGGTGAATTTTTTGGCTACTTCCTTTTAGGTTATTTAGTAGCTTTAAGTGTTTGGGCAGATAGTCTTGGCGACTTCTGCGAGTTACTCTGGCAACTTTAGGTGATCTTGGTGTCGAGTAAGGGTTTTGTTGAGTAACTTTTGCAACTTCAACTCATTGGAGAGATCATCTTACAACTTTGAGATTTTTTTTTGTTGCAAATTAATTTTTTTCAGCTGATCGACTTGAATTGAACTTAATTTCTTACTTATCATTGAAGTTCGTCTAACTTGGCTGAGGCATTATTGGGAATGTATTTAGGGCTTATTTGAGATCAATTTTGTTTTTTGTTTGTCTTTATTTTTTTAAAAATTTTTAAATACATGTTTGTTTAGTGTGTTTTGGACATGTTTTGAATTTTTATTATTAAAAACAAATTGGCGTGTCAACCAGTTGATATTTTGAGAGTTTTTTAAAACAACCATACTTTAATCAAATAACCATAAACATGAACAAAAAAAAACAAACAAAAAATAAAAGTGATCCCAAACAACCTTCAGTTTCGAGATTCACTTGTATTTTTGAAGAAATGATAGATGAACAAGAGAATGAAAGTAAAATTTTTTGCAAGTTCTCATATCGATTATGAAAATTTGAAAGGTGACCAAAATATAGATGCTTCAAGTCTATACATACTCTATACATACTCCTAGACTTCTGCCTTTACTTCTTGATCTCTGTGGCTAAAATCAACAATTACAACATGGATGTTGTTGCAACATTGCTGGAGAGCTACATAAGAAGTGCAAAAAATTTATAGTTGGAAGTAAATCTTCTTTTGCATCTCCTTTAAATTGGAATGAGGAGAAAATTGAGATGGTTGTGCGGGTGAGAAGAATGAAGTCATTATTGTGGTGTCCACCATGAATGATCTTCTTTGGACAACTCTCCTAAAAGGAGATTTAATTGTGAATCCTCTTTGTTTCTATCATTATGGATGAAAACGACAAAGAAATTTCTTAATGATATTACAATTTTGCCAAGCAAATTATTGACTTGTGGGAATGAGTGAGTTGTCAACTTTCCAATGCCATCACTTGTAGGAGGTGATATGTATGTTGATATCTCTACTAATTCAAAGGGAGAAGAGGAAGTTGATCGTGATGACCAAGCTAAGATTTGATGCTCTATTGAAGTGCAAAGCTTGAAGTTGTCGAGTGTTGAGTTTGTGCTTTAATTCCAATGAGTAACTTTGACAATTTGCTAATGGATTTTGAATCAATAAAGGCAAAGAAATTGCATTTAAAGCTAATGTATACGAATCATGGCAAAATTACCTTCATTAGACTCTCAAGTACTCTTAAAATCACAATGTAAAATACTTCATTTTATAACCTCTTCATGTAAAACATATATGTTTGTGCGTGTACCTATATTGTGCTATTTATGCAACAAAATGTTCATGCATTGGTAAAAGGATAAGATTTATAAGCATTCTATGATTCAATACGTGAACAATCTTATATGGTGACTTGTCAGTAAATTTACATGTGATAATGTTGTATGCAAATTCATCAGTAAGAAGATTTAGATATTAATTACCTAGGCCTTTTTACAACTAATTATCTCAATATATTTTCTAGGCTTATATATAATATCTTAGTTTAATCATTAATTAGAAATTAAAAGGCAGATGAAAACTGAAGGATAGTTCCCGATAATTTTCAAATGTTTTGTAAATAAAAAAATAATAGCATGTTTAACTTATAGTATGGCCTTATGCATAAAATGCTGAACTATTTTTATAAGAATGCGTTTTTTAAATATAAATAGATATATTAATAGTTTTTAAGCATGAAATGAACGAGCTAACGTCTAAATTATATTTATTACCACCATTATACTATTATGGCTTCTAATAGTTTGAAAGGTCGTAAAGGAAACTATATGTACCTACATATTGTTTAACATTTTACTCATTTGACACGAATGGAACTAACGATCCTAGTTGTATCCCTTCTGAATGAATGCTAATAAAACTTACATTCAAATAAATGCTTGATTTTATCTTAAACAACAATAGCTATCATGCCACCAATACATTTTCAAAATAATATGATCATGTTTAGAGGTTTTGAATGTCACGTCCCATGATGACCCCGCTTGATTAGACATAAAGCGTTAGTTGCTTGTAATTTAGTTGATTGAATCTACAACCAATACTCCCAAACTCTAGCTACTATAATAGAGTGTATGATAAATTCAATCATCTAGATAACCCAAATATATTATACCACACACAATTCTTAACTCACAAAGATAAAAAATTAACAAAATTCTTACCATGAAGCGTCTTATAATATTTCATTCATATGCATCCATAACAACTAAGAATCATAACACATAGCTTTAATACACAGTGAGATTTACATTATTGACAATAAACTTTTATCATGTGCATTATATAATCATTATTTTTTATCTTACAATCAAAATTAAGTATTAAATTTTAAGATAGTTGATTCAAAATCTTTTACTCTTGGTTAATCTTAAGCGGAAGCCTCGAGCGTTATTTTAAGCATTGATCCAAAACAACGCTGAATTATTTCGTGTGATCTATAAAGCTCAACAAAATAAACAACTCTTATACATAATTTAAACGTTCAACAATTTAAATAACATGATGTTCTAATCATAAATTGAATTTAAGGATTAAACTATAATCTTAGACTTATCAAATACATTAATTGTAATTATCTTAAGGTAAAATTGCTTAATAATAATATGACATAACAATGAGTGAGGTAATTCTACTGAAGAAAACATAAAAAAAATGATGTTAAATTTCCAATTATAATATTTGCTAAACTAGCCGAGTGCACTTGTCAACATAATTAACTTATCACAACATGGCATTATTTTATTTATTTTTTAATTTAAAATATTTTACTTTAGCATTAATTTATATCATATATGGATGTCTAGGTTTCATTGACAAAGGTAATGATCAGTATCCAACCCATTCTACATATTATAGGTTAAAAACCTAACATCTTATAGAGCCTAGGTGTAATCCAATATTTTTGTTGTTAACCTACTTGAGGAACTTTTTGTTTATAGAACCTCACTTCGAAAGTCTATTGCTTTGCCTTTATAGGTCATCATAAGCACGCCGTTGCCAACCTATCCCTCATTATATGACTTTTCTTAAGAAAATTGTATTTTCATTATTGAATATTTAAATACATATATTTTTATTTACAAATATGTTTATCAATATTGTGCATCCATATATAATTTGTAAGTATAAGATATCCTCCTACTTTGAAAATTAACAATTTAATAAAGTGTTAGCATACTTCTAATACTTCAAATATATGCTTTTCATAATTATACCTTATATACAAATTTTAGTATATATAAGCTTACATTTAAATTCTGAAGCAAATTTACTTTCTAAATTTAAACTTTACTAACTTACCCAGTTGACAATTAAGAATAAGTCATAATTCCTAATTCCTCATTACAATCACCTTGAAACTTTGTGTTATTTCATAAGCAATTTATAAAATACAAATATCTCGTTTTATAATTTTTTTTTTAATTTTAACTCATATCTTTAGCAAAATAATTTCAAAATAAATTTTAACCATACAATATCTTCTCATACAAATCTTGAGGTCTGACACTTGTAATGAAAATCGATTCAATGATGAAATTATCAAAGATTATATTTTTATAACAAAAACTAAGCATTTCTTCTTTTCTGTCTCCTCTTCTCTTTTCTTTCCTTTGGCTTTATTCACTCTTAGCATTTGTTTTCACAGTTAGGATACGAGATCAGGAAAAGGCATGATGAGTGCTTAAGTGCATAGATATGTGAGTAATTATATTTAAAGCATCTTAGTTGAATCCATCATGGCCATTTGATATTTAATCAATTGATGCATGTTAAGTGGAAAAAAATTGCTTGTTAAGCAGAAAATTTGTGTGAACAACCATTAATTCAATGAATATTATTTTCATATGAAAATTAGACTAATAATATAAATAATAATATAATTTTATTGTACAAATATATTCATCTTTAATTGTTTGTGTGCGCTCACGCATGCGCGCGCGCGCGCACACACATGTATATATTAAAATGAGCCTAACAAAATATTCAATTTTGTGAAAAAGGTTCAATTATTTTTATGATGTCTGAATCATTTTTTAAATCTATTTGAATTTTATCTTCATAAAATTTTTAGCATTTTACTTGAAATGCAAAGCCTATTAGTTTTATTTTGATATTCATATCAAACCATTAATTTAGGAGAATGTATTAATGAAATAACTTTGTGATGGTATAAATTAAGTGAAATTCAATACATGTCAACTATTCTTCTAGTATTATATCAAAATTAGGTATATCAATTTGTATAGAAGTCGAGAAGAGTAGGAATACCCATGATAGTGAGTTTATATTATTTTGAAATGCTAGGTATATATTTTGGGTGTTGTTTAATAAACTTAACAGGCATACTTATCAACTTATTTTTGTATCTATGTACCTAAGGCTTGGTGATTAAGAATGATAATAAATTTGTTCAACAATAAATAATTTTGCTAATGTTATGAAACTTCAATGATAGCCTAAAATTCTCTATTATAAATATTGTATTTTTGTTTTGCCTCATTCACTTTCTCCTTAAAGTTTAAGTGAGCTTCAATGTAAGAATATTACCTAAATTAATGACAAGGGTAACTTTCCTAAAAAACCATTCTAGTTGATGTAGAGGGGTAAAAATGGATGCTCTGGTGCCAATTGATGGAGAGGAATAATTAATTCTATCTTCATAACTTGGGGTGATCCATGCACACACCTTGGTTCTAGCCACACACCTTGCACTTAATTGGCCTCACAAAATAATTTTATTTCATCAAATTATCTTTATTTCAGTTAGATTCAACAATGCCTATTTATAAAAATAAATTATAAAATTAAGTTAAAAATTTTAAATTCAAATTCCATCCCATCTATTATCAAATTTTATTCCACCTTAACATTTAAAGTCAAACGTATAATTACCCAAATCGGTTAAGTAAACCTAAAAAAATTATTATATGAAAACCATGAAAATTTTTAGCCAAAAATAAATAAGTGTAGACATGGTATCAGTTCAATTTTATTATGGCCTTATTTGACTTATTGTAATTGACTTATAGGCAATTGAATTTTCAACATCTGTTTTAACTTGATTAATAACTTGTACTGCATTAAAAAGCGTTAATTATTTTTTTTTACTTAAATTGATTTTATTTGCTAATTTAGCTAAATGCTAATTCTTGAAAATTTAATGTGAAATTATTTCATGGTATGTTCTTTTTGGTATCTATGCATACAGGCTTTTAAGTGTGGCTCTTCAAGGTATTGGGTCTACGTTGTGGGCAAAAGCACTACTATCTGAGCAAGCATGTCTACGTATAATTTGGATTGTTGGGAACACATTAAATACAATATTATTGGAAAAGGTAGGATAAAGATGATTGATTTCTTAAGTACTTTCATGTATTTACAGTATTTACATATTATGTGCAAAATTGGTTGGGCTGGTAAATGATGCCAGAGGTTTTTTAGGGGCTATTTGGTTGAGTGCTTAGTGGTGTACTGTAATTTTTCTTCCAGAATTTAAGAAAATTATGTATTTTGCGTGAAAAATTACAAATACAATTTGAAGTTTGAATGAATTTGAAATTTACACTGTAGTTCATTTTGGTTGAATTTAGAATTCAGCCGATTTGGATGAATTCAAATTACACCATCATGTAAAATGCTATAGGCGAGTCGCTGCCGGTTGCCTACCACCCTCCACCTGTTGTTGTGGTAGTTCACCACTGTTCGCAGTGCGCCTCTCTCAGCAGGTTGCTGACACCGCCCTTCACCGCCACCGACGCCGCTTCCGCAGGTCATTGCCGTTGGTGATCTGTCGCCGCTAACTCAGTTTTCGATTGTCCGTTGCCGCCCAGAACTATCGGTGAACCTAACTAAACAAACAAAAAAAAATATTTTTTTTCTGTTTCAAACAAAACAAAAAAAAATGAAGTCTTACGTTTGTTTTATAGTGCACCAAACAACTCGAAATTATTTCAAATGCATTGTAATCATAGTACTCTGCAAACATTTTACATTGCATTTTATTGTCAAAAATCAAATGACCCCTTAATTTAAAATTGGGGCATTTACATACCAACACACAATTCTTATATATTTACATATTTTACACCTAACCTTTTATATTTACATATTTTACACCTAACCTTTTATATTTACACACAACACTCAAGTCTTTAGGTGTCAGACATGTAAATAGATAAGAATTGTGTGCAACGTATGAAAATTATCCTTGAAATTTTGTTATTACAAGTTGATGGTCAGACATTTATTGTGTGATGGCTAGGGATGGTGATGATTTTGTTTAGAAAAGGGTTAGGTTTGTTGTAATCAACATGTGAATAATAATAGAAGATATAAATATAATTTTAAGGTAGACTCACCGTCTCCTAATAGAAGAGAACAATCAAATTCTACTTTTTATTACCTCATAAAATAACATTCCAATTACATTGGATTAATTGAATATGTTGAAGTCTACTGTCTACTACAGAGCCATTTTACTATTACAATTCATGAATAAAGAAATATAGAACATTCATGCAAAAGTGTGAGGGTTCTGTCTCTTCAAATGGAATTATTAATTCTAAACTTGCTTGCTTGATTGTTCTTAATTATATTTGAAATAAAATTTTGATTAAATAAAGCATTCAGACTTTCCTTTTTTGCATATGATGCCATAAAGGAAAGAGGGTAGAGAAGGGTGGCCAATTTCTTCACGTTTCCTTCTTTCTAGACTGTTGCCAAGCATATTTGGAATGAGAGTGCTTTTATATTATTGTCTGCATAATAATAGAAATGTCCATTAAATCCTTCACACTTGAAGATGAAAGTTCTTTCTATAATTGTAGAATTCTGATGGAAACTTGATTTTTTATATATTTAGACAATAGTGATAATGCCAATCAACCTTCTTCCCCATAATAGTGGTGATGATGATGATAACTGAATACTTTCAACATTTCGATGTTTATCTCATGATTATGATAACTTACCTTAATTCAAGAAGTGAATATATCATGAAAGTGAATATTTACCTTCTTTTGTTCTATATCTGTTTCTCTCTTTATGAACTCTACTTCGGAGAGTTTAAATAATAAAGAAGATGGACAATGCTATTTTATGTAGTCTAGGGCATAATGCCAAGTGATAACGTGCTCTAGCATTGCAAGAAGGAAGAAGAGATGCTATATAAATGATGTGAAGGTGTGACAATGTAGATATGACATTATTATTCACACAAAACAATAACATGAAGATACATATAATTATTAGGGAAACTCGCAAAAGAACACCACGTTTTATTTCCTCTCAAAGTAACACTCTAATTACATTGGACCAAGTGGATCTATCCATGCTTACTTTCTATTACAAGGCCGCTTTATATTTATAATTTTTCCGTTATAATTTTCTGAAATAAAAAAAAAACATAAAATTCATGATAAATTAAGGAGGGGCCAACCACTTCAAGGATCCTTGGACTTTTTAATTCCAAACATGCATGATTGATTGTCTGATTCTCCTTGAAGTTATTTTTTGAAATCACAATGATTAATCTTTTGATTAAAACATTCAAATTGTTTGTCCATTTATATGGTGCCATAAAAGAAAGAGTAGAGAGAGTGGGGCGGATTCTTCATGCTTTCTGAGTTCTAGATTCCAGCTAAACATGTTTAGCAGTTGAGGGGCTCTGTTTTGTTGGCTTCATCATTATTAAAATCTTTTATAATTGCTCCACACTTCATTAAAAAATAAAACATTTCCTTTTATTTTTAGACAAATGGTTATTTTATGTTTTTATGAAGTTGATGGAAACTTGATTCTTTTCACATCTTGATTATAGTGATAATGCGACTTGATTTTTTTTTTTGTTCATGACGACAATGATAATATAGTTCCTTCCATTTGGGTGTGTTGACTCATTGAGGCTGCCAAGGCTCTTGCTATTATTGATGTTGCTCCTTAATGGGCCTCAATATTTGTTTAACTTCAGCTGCTATGGGTCCAATCTAAAAAAAAAAGAAAACTTTCAAGCCTAAAATCAAATCAACAACGATGAGTCATGCCAATCTTAAAACACTCATGGAACTGCCCCCCTCAATTTTATGACATAATGCTGAAGCTTTCTTTTCTTTGAGCCCCAAACTTTGCCTAACACGAGCAAGTGCTGTAAGTAGAACTTAATATCCTAATGACCAATAATTTTGAAATGGTACGTTCTGTAAAAAGAAGCAACCCAAAAGTTGACATTAAATTTTGTTGGAAGGTAATTTGTCAACCTGCCCCAAAATATTGCAATTGAGCGAGGAACTCATTTCCTTTTTTATGTATAAGTTCCTTAAAGTTTTTAAAGGAATTTAAAAAAAAATTGGAGAAGTTAGTGGTTGAGGTCGCTGCACAAACAATTGCTCACTCGCAAAAGAAAGTTGCGGTGAAGATTTAGAATGAATTCATGACTATCAAAATGCAGGAAGATATTGTTTGCACTTCAAACAATGTTTTTGCTGATAAAAAAAGAATTGCTTGGTAAGCAATAGACACTGATGTAAAATTATTTTATTTAAACAAAATATGTTTGATTTGAAGTTATCTTTTACATTGATGAAATTTAATTGACATTAAAAGTTAAGATTGTCGTACTCTACGTAGCAGTCAGATTGATTTCTATCTTGATTACCTCAACATTGATGGCTTAAACAGAGGGGAAGATAAGAAATGTCTTAATCACTATTAACTATTCTAAATAATAGTACATTTTTCTTAAAAAAAAATACAGAAAATTAAAATTATTACATTTGAAATATAACACCACCATTTGATTAGTATCATTATTTTAATACATTATTATCTAGGTAGCATTTAACTAAATTGATCCTAAGTTAGTTTTTTATTATCTTAATCTTTAGTCAATACAATCCAACCATCCATTTATTATGTCATTATTTAATTTATCTTTTCTAATTTTGTCACTTTAATTTTAACAATTTCATTCTTGGCATGCTCAATTTAGTTTTGAGTGATTTTTTTTGCAGCCTAATACTTGTTTTCATACAACATAGTTGACTTAATTATAATTTTTTTATGTTTAATTTAAATCTCCATGATATTCTCTAATCATGTAAAACTTTGTAGAAACTTATTTATTTTAACCACCCAATATTTACTCTAGAAGTTATCTTAATATGTATTCTAGTTCTTTTGAATAATGGATTCAAAGGACTTAAATCTACTACACCTATGTATCACCTTATATTCAACTGATAATTATTAATATCACGCAAACTGACATTACATATCTTTTATTCAATTCTTTGTTGTATAGGTTCTAAGCATTCTAATTTTTAAACATTTTTTGCATTATTTTGTTCTTCATCATATTTTAATTTTCAACAGATATCGATTAAAAGTGTATGTGATTATTATTTTTCCAAAGATTATTTTTTCGTTACTATTATACAATTATCATGCTGTTCGACTGATTAGTTCTTGTTACTATGGATACAGAGTATCGACTTTTTGTTGACTGTGATTAACAATAAAGAAGTTGCAAACGTTCTTCTTCTACCCATGATAAAGTTGGGTTTGCCAAATCTTGTAGTTAACTTATTGTCCTGTGAGATGGACAACTTAGATGATGAAAACAAGCCAAAAAGGTAGTTAATCATTCTGCTTATTTTTAATTTATTATTTCGTGTCTTAGCACTTTGTAGTTGCTCTTATCATGTTATCATCCCTTCACGTTTTTTATGTTCGTTACCATCCTGCCGTTTTTCATATGGATCAAAATCTGTTTTAGACATATACCATAATTTAGAAGATTTAATTAAATACCACTCAATTGCTATGTATTTACATATCTAACACCTATATTTCAATTTTATGTATACAACTTTGCCTAAAAATAGAAAGGTGTATTTCTTTTAAAAGTTAAAATATTGATATAATTGATAGGATAGGAAATATTTATGTGGTATAAATGTAAAACTTGAATACTTAACTTTAGAAATCTATAGAAACGTGAAAGTTATTATTTTAATCGAGAGTTTTCTCATGGACCTCTCTTATGATATAATTGACTATAAGATATTGTCTTTATGGAGAACCTCTATCTTAGAATAATATAAACTCTATCGCACCAAAATTCGGTTGGGGAAAAATCTATAGAAATGTATACCCTTAATCTTAGAACTATTTATTTTATAATTAGATTCATTTTCAAACATATGGTGTAATACTCTGAGGAGTATTTATTGTTTATTTTGTTGAATCTTATACATTCCCTTCCAAGATTCCCCTTCATAATTTACTAACCTTCCCAGTTAGCTTAGAATTTCCTTACATAGTAATTGTGTGGTTGTCGGCCTTTATTTTTGAAAAGGATGATTTTTGTAAAATATGAAAATAGTTTTAATATAAATATGATTTTTAAAAGTAACATTATAATTTTAAAAAAAAATTAGACCAAATGAGTTTCACATGTTAAATAGTTTGGACGGTTGAGCGCGATATCACAAGTAATATGTTTATCCTTGTAATATATTATCCCAAAGGATAAACATATTACTTAACGGTACGCTTAACTACCTAAACTAGAAAGTTTGTGACATCCGTTTAGTCTGCAAAAAATTTTATGTATGGCCAACAAGTTCCCCTACCTAATATAAGGATTATATAAGATTTATTTTACCTGGGTTCCAAGTTCTCTATAGAGGCAAACCCCTATAGTTAATTACATCTTAAATGACCAGGGTCACTTAAGAAGACTCTCGATTAAGATCAGTGGTTTTTGCTTTCAAGATTTCAATGTTTAGGTTTTCAAGATTGGACACGGGAAAATCAAACGAGAGTGGCTCAAACAGGAACAGTTATTTTAAGGAATCCAAATGAATGAAGAGTATGTGATATCACAGATCTAGGGGAAACCCTGGTGATTTCCCAACTATCCTATTCTTTGACTTTATGTCTTTGAAATGATGTTATTCAATGTTTAATCCTGCAATTTATTTTAGAATTTAGGATTTACATTCGCACGATATCTGATCGTGCAAATAGCCTAGAAAGACAGGAGAATTTATACTGCACCACACGGTAACCTCGAAATCCTAAAAGTGTTAGGACTTGCAATTGCACAATAGGGATGTGCAAAAACCTAAAGATAATATTTGAGGATTCACTCTGCGCTAAGCAAACTACCTCAAAGTCCTATGGGTTGTTATTTAAACTAAGAAAAATGTTTAGTCGACGTGAACTTGTTTTGATGTTGCAGATCCATCTCGAAATTGCTTTCCTGTGTGTTTTTGTCGTGCTGCCCACGGTATTCGCTCCCAACTCCCCGTCATAGCGCCTTCGGATTCGATGTTAATTTTAAGGTTACACAATTGTTTAGTCAACGATTTGCTGTCAGGTACTTCCTCTGGAACCAACTACTGACCTTCTATTTTAAGGTATAGTGCGTAAAAGAAACAGTAGCAGGTGTAAGTTTAGTAACAGAATTTAAGAAATGAACTAGCACGAATTGTATCAACAAAAGAAATATCATATGGAAAATTCAAGAAAGAGCGGCAAATGACCCATGACGAAAGAAAACTCGAGAAAATCGGCAAATGACTTACGACGAAAATCTCGAAGCAAAAACAACAAATGGTAACTCAAGGAAAGCCACTGAGAACACGGGAAGATCCCGGAAAAAGACCACGAGTGCTTTACCAAGTTCCAATAAAATCCTACGAAAAATTCGAAGAAAGAATACCGCAAGCACTCGGGTCAGGGCTAGACTCATATATTATATATTTGTACTCGAGGGACGTCGAAGGCTACTATCGGTCACCCGGATGTATAGAGTCCGCCACTCAACTAGAAGGGTGTCCTACTAAACTTAACTTAGGAGGGTACTTCTTAGCCCGATACTGGTAATCAACAAGTGGACAATCAAGTTGTAACACATCAAGCTATAATATATTTAAAATTTATATTTTAACATGCACATGAATTTCAGGCATACAAAAGGAAGTTGTATCAATTTTGTAGTAAAAATATTTTTTATAAATATTATATTTGTTCTTATTATGTTCTATTCTTATTAATTTTGAAAAGTTATGATTGATCACGAGTCGATCACGCTATTGGACATAGGACCGCCAACAACATAAGAAAGTACGGGTCTCCCGTTTGTCTCGTGTCGGTGAATGATACTATCATCCTATAGTTTATCAGGTCTCAGGATTGGGTCATGATATCGTATGATGTAATATCATTTTGCTCTACTACCGGCGTGCCTTTGTCATCATCGCCCTAAGCCCCAAAAACAAAACCGACCTTACGACCTTGCTTGATGGTTTCATATATATCAAAAGGCTATATATGAGCACTTATGTGTCAGACATAAGCACCGAAAACCGAATCAATAAGCAAGGAAAAAAGAATAAAAACGGGGATGAGAGAGAGGAGAAACTGATACACCCAAAAGATCGAAAAGACGAATGGTGAATCAACCCTCAAAACTTGTGACGAAAAGATCTGAAAAGAAGGGCCCAAGCTCCTTGAATCAATCCAAGAAGGATATCATTTTCTCCAATTTTATAAATGGATCAACCCAAGAAGGGTATTCCTTCCAAATTTTGTTTCGAATAGGTCGAAACAGGCCCGAATCAATGTGACAATTGTATATACGGCTCCACCATCACTTATATACTCACACACCCAAGCCTGAACTCAAATGTGGCATTTATGTTATCCAAACCTTAATGTCAAACCTCAAAAAAGAAACTCTTTCATGAATGATAATTTTATGAGCTTTCGAATCCTTCATGAATCCAATTCATATCAACCTTGTACTTCCTAAAAAATGAAGTTGTAAGAGTCTTTCATATTTCACAAATCAAACAAAGGAAAGTAATCCAGGGACGACAACCTTCTAAATTTTCAAAAAATCATGCCAATATTAAAACCATTCAATTTCATCCTTAATCAAAAGCTTCTGATGTCAAATAAGTCATGATATCATCCAGATAAAATCATATAAATGTTTACAGCCAGGGACAACAGAGAACAGCCAAACAAGACAAAAAAAACCAACTGGGATGCTCGCAGGCAGGGGAGCAAACCAAAACCACCAAACCAGTTTCACAGCAAAGGGGGAAGCAGGGAACAACTAAAGAAAATAAAAGAGAACCACGTGGATGCTCTCGAGTAAGGGAAGCAGCCCACACAACCAAACGATAGGTATTCACTGCCGGGGAGAACAGAGAACAACCAAACAGGACAAAAGAAAACCAACTAGGATGCTCACGGGTAAGGGCAGCAGCCCTCACAACCAACCAGCAGGTGTTCTCGGGTAGGAGTAGCAAAAGAGAAGCCACCACATATTTAAGCTCGTGGTAGGGCCAAGAAAGGGCACAACCAAACCATAGAATAAGCCCACGGGTAGAGACTAGAAAAAACACAGCCAAGCTCCCCATATAAGCTCACGAGTAGGGGCAGTAAGAGAAAGCCTTCACATGTTATTGTACTCTTTCTTATTTTTTTTATATACGTAAGAGAGTTAATGGACAAGCTCTTATAAATCATCCGAACTGAAATCATTTTTCATCGAATAAGACATGATAGTGAGTTGGTCTGCTTATATCAAGCATTCCCACATAGAAGCACATATTGAAATCATAATTTTTTTGGATGACAAACTTGATTATCAACTACAATCCCAGGAGGTACATTATTCGGAGAACCTCCAATCAAACCGAGCCCAACAAGAGAGGCAAACAAAACGACAGTTTGGATAAATTGAACCTAGCAAGAAGGACAAAACAGAGAGCTGTGACAGGTAAACCGAGACCAGCAAAGGGACAAGACAGAGAACCATTACAGGCAAACCAAACCCAACAAGAAGGGAAAGACAGAGAACCGTGACAGGTACACCCGAGCCTAGCAGAGGGGTAAAACAGATAATCATAACAGGTAAATCGAGCCCAGTAGAGGGACAAAACAGAGAATCGTGACAGGTACAGCCGAGCCCAGCTGAGGGGCAAAACAAATAATCATAACAGGTAAATCGAGCCCAACAGGGGGACAACAAAACACAATTTCGGTTCAACTAAACCCAGCAAAAGAGAGCCAAGAACATAATATAATTTCCACAAAATTGACCCTAGTTTTAAGCCAAACCGAACCCAGCGAAAGGACAAAATCGAGCCCAGCGAAGGGACCAAAAACAGATAAACATCCCAGGTAAATCGAGCCCAGCAAGAGGGCTAAAACATGAAAGATTTCCAGTCAAAACGTAACCCCAAAAGGAGCCAAATCGAGCACATCAAATGGGTAGAAACATGACCATCAAAATCAGATTTCATAAAGCCTTTAGCCTCAAAATTTTGCACCCTAACATATGTTTCAAATAGTAACAGGTAACAGGGAACGAATAAGTATAAACGGATCCCTAATGTCAACATATTATCCAGTATTGAAACTGATTCCAGCATTTATTTGAACATGAGCAACAACAACAAAGAATTTCAGCATTACATTTCTAGCATATATTCCAGATAATCAACTATTATCACATGACAACAATTGAAATTTTCTAAATTTTATCTATCATGCATTTTGAGCACAAAAAGAGAAAGTATATATAATGCTCCATTTTTACTGTTTCTAGAAA